TTTTTTTATTGACTCCGTTAAAGAATTAGGGGATACGTTTTCAAAAAGGGACATAAATATTAGTCCAATTGAGGATGTATGTAAAAGTTTTAATCTAATCAAGACAAATGAAACGCAAGTTAATAATGTTATTAGCTCATTGAAAAATTCAAAATGTAAAGATGCTCATTATTTGGATACTATGTTTGTTAAAACTCACAAAGATAGTTTAACCCCGGTCATCACTCATTTAATTAATTTGTTTTTTGAAGGTAGTGTTTTTCCTACTGCGTGGAAAAAAGCAATTGTTTCTCCTATTTTTAAATCTGGAGACCATTATAAAGTTAGTAACTACAGACCCATAAGCATACTGCCAGTACTCTCAAAGGTTGCAGAAAAGATTGTTTTTGAACAGCTGACATCCCATCTTAACACCATTGAGTTTGGCCTACATTGTATGCAGTTTGGTTTCAGAGTAAATCATTCTACTGAAACAGCTACTTTACATTTAATAGAGCAAATAAAATCTAAAGTTGACAAAGGAGGATTTGTTGGGGCTATATTTTTAGATCTACGTAAGGCCTTTGATATCGTTAATCAGACAGTTCTCCTTTCTAAATTGTCTACATTTCAATTTTCACCTGAAGCTTTGGCATGTGTATCCTCATACTTACAAAATAGAGAACAATGTGTAAAAATGAAAGGGGTTAAGTCCTGTGATCTGCATTATACAATGGGTGTACCCCAAGGATCAGTACTAGGTCCCTTACTATTTAGTTTGTATATTAATGATCTTCCGAAACAGTGTGAAGGGATACAAGTACAAATGTATGCTGATGATACTGTTATTTTTATACATGCGAAAACAGCAGAATTAGCGGCTGAGAAGTTAAAAGCTGCTACAGAAAAGATTACACAGTGGCTGGAACAGTCATGTCTTAGCCTAAACATCAGTAAAACAAAAGGACTTTTTTTTCTCTAAAACAAATGTTAAATCTCCTGATGTTGAGATTTTTATTAACGGTGAAAAGATAGAAATAGTAAATGAGCTCAATTATCTTGGTATAATATTGGACTCAAATCTGAGTTTTAAAAAACATGTAAAGAAAATGGTGAGGAATATTAAATATAATATGGCAAACTTTAGACAAATTAGACAATGTCTTTCTTTTGATGTAGCTAAGGCTTTTATGCAAGCTACAATCTTTTCTCACATGTCTTACTGTTTGACATGTTGGGGTCAAGCGGGTGAAACTGTTATTAAACCCTTAAAATCTCTATATAAACAGACATTAAAAATTTTAGATAAAAAACCTAACCATTTTCATTTTTGTAGGATCATAGAGAAACATAATTTTCTAAACTTTGACAATTTTAGACTCTATTCAAGTTTGTGTATGGTTCATAAAATCCTAAACGGTCTGGCTCCTTCTGTGTTACGTGACTTTATTAATCTTCGCTGTGAAACCTCTGTGAGATCTACCAGACAATCACTTATGAGTAATTGTCTGGTTCCTTTTCGTCGTTCCGCATTTGGACTATCATCTTTTGCAGTGAAAGCCACTAATCAGTGGAATGCCCTACCAGAGGATATAAAAGGGTGTAAAGCTCATGGTCTTTTTAAATTGAAGTTAAAATCTTTTTTAAAATTGAACCAATTATGTAATCATTGAGATTGTTGTAGTTAAATTGATTGACTGATTTATATATTTATGTTTTTTATGGCCTTGACAGCGTGTATGTATGTATTTATTGTATGTGAACATAGGTATTGTCTGTGTAATGTTTTGTTAGCTTTGTCCTGTCTGGGGGACTACGGATGAAAAATAGCCTTTGGCTAAATCCGGTACAATACATGAAATGGAAATTTTATGTTAAAAATTGTGCATGGTCCCTTCATAAATAAATAAATAAAAAAAAATAATAAAAAAAAAGGGCTTGCGTTTAGGCACACATGAAGTGCACACGAAGTGCCTCTGTCATAAATGTGATCAGGTGAAAACAACAAAAGATTTTAGCACAAAGATGTGACAGCTTTTCTTCAAGTAGGAGCAGAGTATGTTTATAAGTAAAGCTGTCTTAACAGAGGATGGTTTCGATCCATCGACCTCTGGGTTATGGGCCCAGCACGCTTCCGCTGCGCCACTCTGCTCGCCATAGAAGAGCTCCCATTCACAGGTGTTTTCAAAAGGGCTTGCGTTTAGGCACACATGAAGTGCACACAAAGTGCCTCTGTCATAAATGTGATCAGGTGAAAACAACAAAGGGTTTTAGCACAAAGATGTGACTGCTTTTCTTCAAGTAGGAGCAGAGTATGTTTATAAGTAAAGCTGTCTTAGCAGAGGATGGTTTCGATCCATCGACCTCTGGGTTATGGGCCCAGCACGCTTCCGCTGCGCCACTCTGCTCCTGACAACAGACTTGCCATACTCTACTGTTTTCAAATTGACATGCGTTTAGGCACACTTGAAGTGCTCTTCTGTCATCAATTAGAACAGGTGAAAAATGCAGAAGGTTCTAGCACACAGCTGAGGCAACTTTTCTTCAAGTAGGAGCAGAGTATGTTTATAAGTAAAGCTGTCTTAGCAGAGGATGGTTTCGATCCATCGACCTCTGGGTTATGGGCCCAGCACGCTTCCGCTGCGCCACTCTGCTGTAAACCACCCCAGATGGGACTCGAACCCACAATCCCTGGCTTAGGAGGCCAGTGCCTTTCCATTAGGCCACTGGGGCTGTTCAGAATATGTGCTCATCTGACCACATTACTTTGGCTTCAGTGACAACAACAGCATCGGCATTTAAACAAGGCCAGCACACAAAGTAATCCGGATGAACGACTACTTCGATAGGCCACTGGGGCATGACTCGCTTGCCCTACTAATTGTCCATCTCATTCAGGTGGCTTAGTCAATGAGGCGTTAGAACAGGGCATACACACACAAACACACAGATTTTCTGAATGAACAAGCGGGATGTGGAAGTTGCTCTTTATTTGGGATAAAACATGGACATACCTGAAGAAGCCTTAGCAGAGGATGGTTTCGATCCATCGACCTCTGGGTTATGGGCCCAGCACGCTTCCGCTGCGCCACTCTTCTCGCCATAGAAGAGCTCCCATTCACAGGTGTTTTCAAAAGGGCTTGCGTTTAGGCACACATGAAGTGCACACGAAGTGCCTCTGTCATAAATGTGATCAGGTGAAAACAACAAAGGGTTTTAGCACAAAGATGTGACAGCTTTTCTTCAAGTAGGAGCAGAGTATGTTTATAAGTAAAGCTGTCTCAGCAGAGGATGGTTTCGATCCATCGACCTCTGGGTTATGGGCCCAGCACGCTTCCGCTGCGCCACTCTGCTCCTGACAACAGACTTGCCATACTCTACTGTTTTCGAATTGACATGCGTTTAGGCACACTTGAAGTGCTCTTCTGTCATCAATTAGAACAGGTGAAAAATGCAGAAGGTTTTAGCACACAGCTGAGGCAACTTTTCTTCAAGTAGGAACAGAGCACGTATTTAAGTAAAGAAGGTTTAGCAGAGGATGGTTTCAATCCATCGACCTCTGGGTTATGGGCCCAGCACGCTTCCGCTGCGCCACTCTGCTGTAAACCACCCCAGATGGGACTCGAACCCACAATCCCTGGCTTAGGAACGCCAGCTGCCGAAGGATAGTCCGACAATATGGGGATAATGTTGAACAATGTTGAACGCCACAGCCAATCACGTAGACGCGCTATAACATTTGCAGCCAATCAGAGAGCGCCATTCTTGACATTTTCTTATCATTTTCGACATTTGACCAATCAGAGTACAAGATTTTCTTATAATTTTCGACATTTGACCAATCAGAGTAAAAAGAAATCTCGACGGCACGTTTATGCTTATCACCGCTAGGTGAAGTCAGGAAGATAGCCAAGTGTCAATCAAGTTGCCGAACTGAGCCGAAAGTGTACGGAGCGGTACGAAGTGATGATCCTCAGGGGCGTGTCAGAGGTAAAAAAAGTTCAGTTAGACGTCGAGCATCACTGTCAGGGGGGTCAGGTTGCATAATTTGAACGGAGGACTGCGAAACAAAATTTTCGGTAAATTTAACGTTATTTTCGGACAACAGGTAAGAACGAATAATGTAATTGTATATTTGAATATGTCGTGTGTGCTTTTTTAAAGAAAACCTTTTTATTATTACTAGTTTTGTCCAAAACGATTTAACCTTAACTTACCTAGCCCCCCCAAAAAAAGAAAAAAAAAAGAATGTCGGGCAAAAAATCCCATAAAGCCATGTCGGATGCTGACTGGATTTCAAGGCTAAAAAAGTTTGCCAGCACAGGAGTTTGGCCATCAAATGAGGGTAACAGGCCAGCTCCTCGACAGAAAAAGTGGCATGACGTGTATCAAAAGGTGAGTGTGCTTTTGTCACCTTTGCATGGCAGTAAGGAATAAAAATGACATTTGAATGTAAAAATGACATTTTAATGACAAATTCAATTCGTACCACTGTAGTTGAGGTCAATAAAAACATTCATGACAAAGTTATAATGGCCTCATGACCAACCACATAACAGTTTAATGTAATGTTAACCTATAAAGCTAAGTGGTTTCTTAAGTTTGATAATTAATCTGCTATGTCATGTTTATGACATATTATGTTATCTTGGTATTGTCAAGTTGTTATGACACTGACCAGTTATGATGTATTGGTTAATGTCAAGTTGTCATAACAAAGACATCTCAAACAATGTCATATTTGCATTAAAAATGTCATAATTGACCGAATGACACTTAATGGCAGTTGTCATAAACATGCATAAAACCTCCTTCATATTCATGATTATGAGGGTGTCATGTCAGTCTTATGCACACCCCTTCAAGTAAAGTGTTACCGTGTGAAATGTTCCTCACTCTTTCTCTCTAATTTTACAGTTTGTATCTCCCCTTCAAAGAACATGAATAAAAATAAATATGACACACGTCATGGAAAATGACAGTAGATTAGTTTCCCATTCCGGTTTAGTTGAAATGCATGTATTGTGTATATGACATGTGTCATAATGTTTACAGATTGAAAAATGTCCGATGCAGTCTCGCGGCCAGACGACCTTGTTCAGAGAGGTCCCAAAGTGCACGTGTGGTTTTCACACTCAAAAGGTAACAATGTGAAGATGTTGCAAGTATTAAAACATAATAATAATAATAATTTACTGAATAAATGTTTCTCGTTCAAAAGTGATTGAAGCTGATGTCATTTTTGGTTGTCTTAAGCAGGCCACAGTCTCTACTGGACAAGCACCAATGGTTGTGGAGCAACAGTCTGCCGCTACTGGACCAGCACAGGAGGTCATGGAGCAGAGTCAACCTCAGCCTCGACTCCAGCCCCAGCCACGGCCTACTGCATCTGTGACATCTAGGATAATACCAAGTTTGTCAATGGTAATAACATTTTTATTAATACATGTATTATTAATTCAGTCATCATGCATCTACTTTCAAGTATAACCTTAATTACTGTTAATAAACACTTTATCTTACAAGCTATGTGCAAACTAGTTTTGAATCAATGTCATTTTTAAAAGGTACCTGTTGAATTACAATAATACTCACATTCTAGCAATGTCTTCCCACTCATTTTTCTATTCTAACTGTGCTTGCTTCAATCTATATAAGTAGCAGAGGGTTGTAATATGAACAAATGTACAGCAAGAAAGCAGTTAATTTAGTTATATGAAATATTGAAACAACAGATATTTTCTCATTTACCAAAAATGTAATTATATTTTCTGCCACTGTGCTGTTACAGCTTATTTTGTCATTTAGTTGAAATTGTTTTGCCCTATTTTAGTTTACCAAGCCAAGATTTGGTGGGTCCCACATTTCTGCCGCAAAGCCAAATCTAAGTGTGTCTAGGAGACCATCTCAGGTTGATGACCAACCCAGCACAGCAGTGTCCAGTGCCCCTACACCAAGCACCACTGTCTCTGTAAGTACTGGCATAATCCACATTGCATTCTATGAATACACATTCCACTCCTGTGCACACATATCTTGTATTCCAGGAAATCTTACAATAATGAAGTAATAACAGTACTATATACTCTTTGAATTAAATAGATTTTATGTACAGTACTGTTCAAAAGTTTGTGTGTTCAGTAAATTGAGACTTTTTTTCAGCAATGACACATTAATAAATACATTTGAAAATACATTAAAATAAGCAGCAATATTATTTCCCAGTATAACTGTTTTTGACTGTATTTTAATCTTCTTTCAAAAACATAAAATAAACTTACTGACCCCAGACTTTTGAACAGCATTGTATAATTCCATCCAGGATGAGTTACAATTATTGGACAGGTATGTTTGACTGTTTCTCTTGTTATATATACAAAATCTATTATATTTCACTGCATGATTTTACAGACACAAGATCCTGGAGTTCCAGCCTCTGTCCCCAGAACCACTGCAGATGTGACCAGTCCTGAGTCTTGCGGTATTGTCTCGGTACGCAATTTCAAATTCTATTGGTCTAAAATAATTTATTTTGCATATTAACTGTCACAACTCACTAGAGTCGCACAAAATAGCGCTAGCAGCTGACACAATTCTGAAAACATTTGGAACAAATGTACCAATTATATTCAAATTTCCTTAAGTACGTAATTGACATCCAATATTTTCTATTTTATGTGAGGGTAGACTTGGATAGATAAAGCGCTAATTAAATAAATGACCTGCTAGACTAAATGTTTTTTTCTTTTTCCTTCACAGACTGCTCCTTCCGGGGCGTCATTGCAAGCTCCATCTGCAGTTCGACTGCACCGTTTGTGGTCGGAGACCTTGCCGCCAGAGGACCACAGGTGGATTGCCAGCAGGCTTTTTAAAATGGGGCCCAAGGGAAAACCAGAGCTTCGAGACAACCTACAGCTCTGGTATTACCCACCACAGCCAGCACTTATTTATAACCAGGCTCCAGCTCCAGACAGATTTTTTTGTCATGCTCTGTTGCTGTGGATGCCGTACAAGCTGTGGAAGATCAAGGCTGTCTGTCCCAATTCTGCTTGCGGGCAGCATCAGCTAACAGGAGGCGGTCTGCACAAAAGGGCACGGCAGGTTCTGGACATCGATAGGATGTACAACATGGTCACAGAAACCCTCATCTGTACCAAATGTAAAGCCTCGCATGTGTCCTGGAGTCAGACTGTCCTGCAACAGCTGGATCTGGGTCATCGCTCTGAATTTCGGGTCATCCTCACGCGGAAGTAAGTACACTTTCATTCCACATCCAGTTGATAGACCATCATCACATATATTTGCAAATATTTTACAAATCAAACATGTAAAATATATGAATGTGTGGATTTTGCTTTTCCTAAGGTATGCCTGTGATATGAGAGTCATTCGGCTCCTGCGTGAGCGTGGCCTAGGCAACAGTCCCACGCGGGTCATCAAACAGCTGCGTGAGAACCACAGCGAGGAGTGGCTCCAGCGTATGGCCCGGTACACCACCCAATGTGTGGACTTCCTCAAACGACCCGGGGTGTTGCAAATACCATTCCAGGAACCCCCAGAGCCTACAGTGGTGCCAAGCTGCAAGTGGCTGCTCACCGTGTACAGCCAAGACATCCTGACAAGACTGGATGAAATCCATGCAAGGATAACATCCACGTATGGTTCAGTCTTGAAAATGGATTCCACTAAAAAGGTTAGCAGGGGATTTTTGTTCATTTATGGTGTTTACTGTTATATCATTATCAGAGCATGAGTATCATATTCTACATGGTGTGATGTTTCATTACATTGCATGCTTCCTGTCATCTACTGCAGATCACTAAGAAGCTGGCTGGGACGGCAAGGGGAACGGGACTCTGGCTTACCTCTGTTGGCAATGAGTTTGGTCAGGTGCTCATGAGTGTGCTGACAGCACAGGAAGGAGCAGGACTGGACATGATGGTCGATGGTCTGGTGAAGAGGTACCAGCAGGCTAGTGTGGATCCACCTGCTGTTTTGTATGTGGACTGTGGCTGCTGCACTGATGTGGGTGAGACCAAGCTGAAAACCAGATTCAGAGGTTGGCCTGATCTCATGATTCGCTTGGACATCTGGCATTTTATGCGCAGGATTGCCGTGGGGTGTACAACTGATGCCCATCAGCTGTATCCCATCTTCATGTCACGGCTGTCAGCGTGCATTTTTGAGTGGGATGCGGCTGATGTTTCTATGCTTCGCAAAGCAAAGAGAGAGCTGTTGATATCCCAGGGTTGGCCTGCGCTGACAGATGAAGATGTCAACAAGCATCTTACCAGGGATGAGCTGGCACTCCATTGCCGGAGGAGGACCTGTGGAGAGGAGACTACCATCCTTCTCCTTGAGCGGCTGCTCACAGAGCTCCTGAGCAGCAAGGGCAAAGACTCCCTGGGGGTTCCTCTCCTGGACCGAGAAAGGATGGAGCACATCTGGAATGTCCAGAAGAAGCATGTTAAATGCATTCAAGACCCCCCTGGTGTTATGCTCTATACAGAGACAGGGAGTCTAAACAAGGGAGGCGTTCTTCTGAAGACCTACAGATGTGCCAGAGGCTCCACTTCTCTCGAGTCCTTTCATTTACACCTAAACCGTTTCATCCCAGGTATGTCTTTGTCACACACACTGTGCATGTGTAAAGAAAGAGCATTAAGTGTTTTGTATGTTTCTTTAACACCCCCTAAACACTGTTGTGTCTATTTACAGGGACCAGTGCAAACAGTCTGAACTTTCAGATTTATCTGCTGGAGGGTCTACACCGGTGGAACCAGGACCGGGAGGCTGCTTCCCTGTCATCGGAGCCATCAGCTTTGCGCAGCTACACAGGAGAACTTGTTCACTGTGTAAACAGCAATTATGAAAAGCTGTTTGGCAGGAAAGTGGTCCCCACGTTTTGTCCCCCTGCATGTTACACCGGTGAGAATTATTGTATATATTTTTTATTTTATCAACTTGCAATTTCTGTGTAACCTCCGTCTATATGTCAGATTTAATCCTATAGAGTCGATTGTATCATAATTGATATGCAAGTTTCTAAAGGCCTCTAAATGATCAACATGGTCAAAACTTTTCAGGAAACATGGCCTCTGTCGTCTGATTGATTATAGTCTTTTAATATAATTGTAAAAGTGTCCACCTTCAGCTCGTGCTTCACGTTTCTTTTCACTGTGAAACCTTTACTGATTTTTATAAAGTAATTGTAAGAATAACTTTTATATTGTTAGTAATATGTAATGACTGTAATATGTAATAAATATGTAATGACAGCTTGGGTTCACTTGATTAGAAAACCATGTTACATGTAAATATCAAAATTATCATCAGACTTTTCTCTCAGTCACCATTGTATTGCATTTCATTTCATGTTTTGCCCCCATAATTAAACGTGTTGGGCCTCTGAATAAAACAGTTTTTTTTTTCTCCTTGACGATGAGCTCTATATTCTCACACTATATGAGCTAGCCTACTACAAAAGCCTAATGTATCAAATATGATACACAACATTCTATTTAATTTCTGTTTGTTTATTGTTTTTATTTCAGGTGAGCTCATTGGAGTGCAGTATCTGTTCCAGCAGACTGGTCAGGCACTGCAGGACATGAATCCAGACTCTGAGCAGACAGCAGAGCTCATTGAGGACCTCAGTGTGGAGGAGCGAGATGAAGATGAGGGCTTCTGTGACATCAGCGAGGATCACACAATAGCAGATCCGGAGGCTGTTCTGTCACCGCCCTCTTCCACACTGACACTGGGTTCTTCCACCCTGGTCACCAGCAGTGCCACACCTGTACTGGGCTCCACATCCCCTCCACTGGTCCCTGACCCCAAACTTGGCCTCACACAGTCTCCTTCATCACCTGGACCCTCAGGGACTGCCGTCACACCTGTTCCCTCTGAAACATCTGTTTCAACTCTCCCCTCAGATCCAGAGGATGCTGGTCAGGATGATGGTGAAGAAGAGACGGTAAATACCAGTCCTTTGCATGTCTTTCAAATTAACTAGAATAATTATGATGAATTAACATCCAGTGCTTTAAATACAGACTTTCCACATATTTTAAATGTAAAAGTACAGCCTAAATTCATTTGTAAGCTGCAAATACACATCAAGTCAAGTCATCTTTATTTATTTGGTGCTTTGTAAAGAACATGTTAAGAAAATGTCAAGAATGGGGCTCTCTGCTTTGTACTATACAGTGCTTTACGGTGATAAACAGGAAAATAACACAATCAGTTATGGAATTATGCATTAGACAGATGTGATGTAATAATTGTATTGCGTGTTTGTGTTTTTTAATAGGCTGTTGACTACCAAAATGTCCCGGGTTATCAACATGTGGACCAGCTGGCAGAATATCTGGTGGATCTCCGGGCCCACACAGCCCTCAGCCTGACCAACCAGGAAGCCAACACCATTATTGCTCTTTGGCAGAACCTGGATGACCGGGACAAGGAACGGGTGGTGTATGACAGTCGATGCCGAAAGAGACTGCTGAGTGGACGCTTCAAAGTCCCGAAGAGGCCCACTCACCCTGGTGTAGAGAGCACCACCAGATGTGTGCTGGGTGCAAGCAGCTCACCTGCTCAGTGGCCTGACTGTTGCCGTCTGGTGGAGACCATCTTCATCAGACTTTGCACTGTCCACCCAAGCCCTAAAAGAAAAGGCAAGGGAGCCCTGTCAAGATGGTCTCTGATCCTGCAAGACTATCGCAGGATAAGGCAGCTTGTACTGGGCAACAGCTTGGTGATGGGAGGAACATCGATGCAGCTGGTGGAGGTTAACCAGAACACCCTGATTCAGTGGTATAACAGAAGACAGAAAAAGCAGGAGCTGTCTGTGCTGCTTCAGGGTATTCAGTTGCCTCAGCCCCTCCCTGAAGCTCCAGAGCCTCTCCAGGTTGCCAAACGTCTACGGACTGAGCCAGAACAACCAGGGGAGCAGCACCAGTACAAGCTACCAGAGAGCACAGCTGGTCAGGCAAAGCAGAGGCAGACTTCTGTTGGGCGACCCCCTCTCAGACCCAAGGCACCAGCGCAGAGTCAGATGTTGCTGACACCATCAGCACCTGGAGCATCACTGCAGATGGTCCCAAATATACTCATACCATCAGCACCAGGTTTCCAGGGTGTGCCAATGTTTCAGGGTGTGCCAATGATCCAGGGAGTTCAAATGATCCAGGGTATCCCAATGGTCCAGGGGATGCAAATGATACAGCCACTGTTACAGCCAACAGCTGTACAGGGCACTCGCTTACCCGCTGCACCAGCTGCCCATCCAGACGCCATGCCCAAGAGACCCTACAGGAGAACAGTTGCGGCCAACACTTGCAAAAAATGTGGGCAATATAAAACAAGTGCAACAGGTCATAGCCAGTACAGGGGCAGGGTGTACTGCCCACAGACTGAGACTGTTACAAAAGAGGTGTGGTTAGAGGAAATGCGCAGAACCATTCCCAAATAATGTATATATTTTCATGTACAGTATATAGCATCATGTATATAGTGTGAACAGTTGTTTAAATAGTTAATACTTGTGTTGTATATTATTTAATTTTGTTTTTTTAACGTTATTTAACATTTTAACTTTTTATTTCTTGTTTTTGAAAACCTATTTAACTTTTCATTTTATTTATTTATTTTTAAAACATGTTACCAGTATTTAACATATTAATATTCATTACTGTTCTGTTGGCATGATTGGAAAATAAAAACAAATTGGCAAGTGATTTCTTTTTGACTTTCATATATCACTAGTTCATCAGTACACTGCAACAATATAACATTTGTATATAAAAAGATAATTTGTACATTTTGTTATTCTTGTGATTGACATTTTCAGCATATTAGTAACTATTTAATGGGTTGCATTTTGTTCATTACAAATAACAGTTTTGCAAGTTTCTTGTTTGAATGTAACCTAAAAAAATGCTTAATTAGATCAATAATAATACAACAACTACTAAATAATATCACTTTTTATTGGCAATTATATATTTTTATAAAAGAATATAAAAACAACACAAACAAATTACATATGTATATTTTATTAACACTGGAAAAGTATGCATTAAAAAATTAGCTTATTTTCTTTTACTTTATTATAACAGAATGTGCTCATTTACTTTCATATAACACAATATTTCATCAGTACACTGCACCAATATAACATTTGTATTTAAAAAGATAATTTGTACATTTTGTTATTCTTGTGACAGACATTCTTCATATTAGTTACTATTTAATGATTTGCATCTTTCTTCATTGCATAATAATGCAAATAACATTATTTTTCATGATAGAATATCAAAAAACACAACAAACAAATTAAATATGTATATTTTATTAACACTGGAACAGTATGCATTCAAAAATATTGATTATTTATTCTGGAACAGTATGCATTCAAAAATATTGATTATTTATTCAAATAATACATATGACAAAAAGTTGTCTTTAGCTGGATTCGAACCCCGGTCTTGGTGAACACCTGCAATAGAAAACAGTGTAATATAAATGCGTGATTTTCACACACGAAGAAACCGGAAAATGTATCATAAGACCTATGCTAATGAAGGTATATCTTTGAACATCAAATTTCAGCCTTTCTTTTCTTCATTTTTTCTTTCTCTTCTTCCCCCTCTCTTTTTCTTCCTTCCCCCTTTTCTTCCCTTCTTCCCCACCTTTGTTGGACTATTGTTCCCCAGCTTGAACGCAGTGCCTTATCCATTAGGCCACTGGGGCTGTTCAAAATATCTGCTCATGTGCCCCCATTACTTTGGCTTCAGTGACAACAACAGCATTGGCATTTAAACAAGGCCAGCACACAAAGTAATCCGGATGAACGACTACTTCGATAGGCCACTGGGGCATGACTCGCTTGCCCTACTAATTGTCCATCTCATTCAGGTGGCTTAGTCAATGAGGCGTTAGAACAGGGCATACACACACAAACACACAGATTTTCTGAATGAACAAGCGGGATGTGGAAGTTGCTCTTTATTTGGGATAAAACATGGACATACCTGAAGAAGCCTTAGCAGAGGATGGTTTCGATCCATCGACCTCTGGGTTATGGGCCCAGCACGCTTCCGCTGCGCCACTCTGCTCGCCATAGAAGATCTCCCATTCACAGGTGTTTTCAAAAGGGCTTGCGTTTAGGCACACATGAACTGTGGAAGCAGTGGAGTCATTCAGGTTCCTGGGCACTATCATCTCTCAGGACCTGAAGTGGGACAATCACATTGACTCCATTGTGAAAAAGGCCCAGCAGAGACTGTACTTCCTTCGCCAGCTGAGGAAGTTCAACTTGCCACAGGAGCTGCTGATTCAGTTCTACTCAGCCGTCATTGAGTCTGTCTTATGCACTTCCATCACTGTCTGGTTTGGTTCAGCTACCAAATCAGACATCAGGAGACTACAACGGACAGTCCAGACTGCGGAGAGGATTATTGGTGCCCCCCTGCCAAACCTCCAGGACCTGTACTCTTCCAGAGTGAGGAAGAGAGCAGGTAAAATCATCACAGACTCCACTCACCCTGGACACCACCTATTTGAACTGTTACCGTCAAGACGGCGACTCAGATCACTGGCCACTAGAACATCTCGGCACAGGAACAGTTTCTTCCCACAGGCCATATCCCTCCTGAACAGTTAACACACCTCCCAAGGCATATGCTTTAAGTGCAATACTCCCACTGTTTAGTGCAATATCCTACAACTCAGGTGATACTTATATGTAGATTTATTTATTCATAATATTCAAAACACTGTAATATATGTGATACTTGTGACAACTGTGATACTTTTATTCTCATATATTTATATTTATATTTTTTATTCTTAGAATTTGTAGTATTATGTTTCTTGTTGTATTTGTATTTGTATATGTCCACTGGAAGCCTCAGTACCAAAACAAATTCCTTGTGTGTGCAAGCACACTTGGCAATAAAGCTCTTTCTGATTCTGATTCTGATGAAGTGCACACGAAGTGCCTCTGTCATAAATGTGATCAGGTGAAAACAACAAAGGGTTTTAGCACAAAGATGTGACTGCTTTTCTTCAAGTAGGAGCAGAGTATGTTTATAAGTAAAGCTGTCTTAGCAGAGGATGGTTTCGATCCATCGACCTCTGGGTTATGGGCCCAGCACGCTTCCGCTGCGCCACTCTGCTCGCCATAGAATATCTCCCATTCACAGGTGTTTTCAAAAGGGCTTGCGTTTAGGCACACATGAAGTGCACACGAAGTGCCTCTGTCATAAATGTGATCAGGTGAAAACAACAAAGGGTTTTAGCTCAAAGATGTGACTGCTTTTCTTCAAGTAGGAGCAGAGTATGTTTATAAGTAAAGCTGTCTTAGCAGAGGATGGTTTCGATCCATCGACCTCTGGGTTATGGGCCCAGCACGCTTCCGCTGCGCCACTCTGCTCGCCATAGAAGAGCTCCCATTCACAGGTGTTTTCAAAAGGGCTTGCGTTTAGGCGCACACGAAGTGCCTCTGTCATATGTGATCAGGTGAAAACAACAAAGGGTTTTAGCACAAAGATGTGACAGCTTTTCTTCAAGTTATCCGGATGAACGACTACTTCGATAGGCCACTGGGGCATGACTCGCTTGCCCTAATAATTGTCCATCTCATTCTGGTGGCTTAGTCAATGAGGCGTTAGAACAGGGCATACACACACAAACACACAGATTTTCTGAATGAACAAGCGGGATGTGGAAGTTGCTCTTTATTTGGGATAAAACATGGACATACCTGAAGAAGCCTTAGCAGAGGATGGTTTCGATCCATCGACCTCTGGGTTATGGGCCCAGCACGCTTCCGCTGCGCCACTCTGCTCGCCATAGAAGAGCTCCCATTCACAGGTGTTTTCAAAAGGGCTCGCGTTTAGGCACACATGAAGTGCACACAAAGTGCCTCTGTCATAAATGTGATCAGGTGAAAACAACAAAGGGTTTTAGCACAAAGATGTGACAGCTTTTCTTCAAGTAGGAGCAGAGTATGTTTATAAGTAAAGCTGTCTTAGCAGAGGATGGTTTCGATCCATCGACCTCTGGGTTATGGGCCCAGCACGCTTCCGCTGCGCCACTCTGCTCGCCATAGAAGAGCTCCCATTCACAGGTGTTTTCAAAAGGGCTTGCGTTTAGGCACACATGAAGTGCACACGAAGTGCCTCTGTCATAAATGTGATCAGGTGAAAACAACAAAGGGTTTTAGCACAAAGATGTGACAGCTTTTCTTCAAGTAGGAGCAGAGTATGTTTATAAGTAAAGCTGTCTTAGCAGAGGATGGTTTCAATCCATCGACCTCTGGGTTATGGGCCCTGCACGCTTCCGCTGCGCCACTCTGCTCGCCATAGAAGATCTCCCATTCACAGGTGTTTTCAAAAGGGCTTGCGTTTAGGCACACATGAAGTGCACACGAAGTTTCTCTGTCATAAATGTGATCAGGTGAAAACAACAAAGGGTTTTAGCACAAAGATGTGACAGCTTTTCTTCAAGTAGGAGCAGAGTATGTTTATAAGTAAAGCTGTCTTAGCAGAGGATGGTTTCGATCCATCGACCTCTGGGTTATGGGACCAGCACGCTTCCGCTGCGCCACTCTGCTGTAAACCACCCCAGATGGGACTCGAACCCACAATCCCTGGCTTAGGAGGCCAGTGCCTTTCCATTAGGCCACTGGGGCTGTTCAAAATATCTGCTCATCTGCCCCCATTACTTTGGCTTCAGTGAAAACAACAGCATTGGCATTTAAACAAGGCCAGAACACAAAGTAATCCGGATGAACGACTACTTCGATAGGCCACTGGGGCATGACTCGCTTGCCCTACTAATTGTCCATCTCATTCAGGTGGCTTAGTCAATGAGGCGTTAGAACAGGGCATACACACACAAACACACAGATTTTCTGAATGAACAAGCGGGATGTGGAAGTTGCTCTTTATTTGGGATAAAACATGGACATACCTGAAGAAGCCTTAGCAGAGGATGGTTTCGATCCATCGACCTCTGGGTTATGGGCACAGCACGCTTCCGCTGCGCCACTCTGCTCGCCATAGAAGAGCTCCCATTCACAGGTGTTTTCAAAAGGGCTTGCGTTTAGGCACACATGAAGTGCACACGAAGTGCCTCTGTCATAAATGTGATCAGGTGAAAACAACAAAGGGTTTTAGCACAAAGATGTGACAGCTTTTCTTCAAGTATGTTTAACAAGGCCAGCACACAAAGTAATCCGGATGAACGACTACTTCGATAGGCCACTGGGGCATGACTCGCTTGCCCTACTAATTGTCCATCTCATTCAGGTGGCTTAGTCAATGAGGCGTTAGAACAGGGCATACACACACAAACACACAGATTTTCTGAATGAACAAGCGGGATGTGGAAGTTGCTCTTTATTTGGGATAAAACATGGACATACCTGAAGAAGCCTTAGCAGAGGATGGTTTCGATCCATCGACCTCTGGGTTATGGGCACAGCACGCTTCCGCTGCGCCACTCTGCTCGCCATAGAAGAGCTCCCATTCACAGGTGTTTTCAAAAGGGCTTGCGTTTAGGCACACATGAAGTGCACACGAAGTGCCTCTGTCATAAATGTGATCAGGTGAAAACAACAAAGGGTTTTAGCACAAAGATGTGACAGCTTTTCTTCAAGTATGTTTAACAAGGCCAGCACACAAAGTAATCCGGATGAACGACTACTTCGATAGGCCACTGGGGCATGACTCGCTTGCCCTACTAATTGTCCATCTCATTCAGGTGGCTTAGTCAATGAGGCGTTAGAACTGGGCATACACACACAAACACACAGATTTTCTGAATGAACAAGCGGGATGTGGAAGTTGCTCTTTATTTGGGATAAAACATGGACATACCTGAAGAAGCCTTAGCAGAGGATGGTTTCGATTCATCGACCTCTGGGTTATGGGCACAGCACGCTTCCGCTGCGCCACTCTGCTCGCCATAGAAGAGCTCCCATTCACAGGTGTTTTCAAAAGGGCTTGCGTTTAGGCACACATGAAGTGCACACGAAGTGCCTCTGTCATAAATGTGATCAGGTGAAAACAACAAAGGGTTTTAGCACAAAGATGTGACAGCTTTTCTTCAAGTATGTTTAACAAGGCCAGCACACAAAGTAATCCGGATGAACGACTACTTCGATAGGCCACTGGGGCATGACTCGCTTGCCCTACTAATTGTCCATCTCATTCAGGTGGCTTAGTCAATGAGGCGTTAGAACAGGGCATACACACAGATTTTCTGAATGAACAAGCGGGATGTGGAAGTTGCTCTTTATTTGGGATAAAACATGGACATACCTGAAGAAGCCTTAGCAGAGGATGGTTTCGATCCATCGACCTCTGGGTTATGGGCCCAGCACGCTTCCGCTGCGCCACTCTGCTCCCCATAGAAGAGCTCCCATTCACAGGTGTTTTCAAAAGGGCTTGCGTTTAGGCACACATGAAGTGCCTCTGTCATAAATGTGATCAGGTGAAAACAACAAAGGGTTTTAGCACAAAGATGTGACAGCTTTTCTTCAAGTAGGAGCAGAGTATGTTTATAAGTAAAGCTGTCTTAGCAGAGGATGGTTTCGATCCATCGACCTCTGGGTTATGGGCCCAGCACGCTTCTGCTGCGCCACTCTGCTCGCCTTAGAAGAGCTCCCATTCACAGGTGTTTTCAAAAGGGCTTGCGTTTAGGCACACATACACATGAAGTGCACACGAAGTGCCTCTGTCATAAATGTGATCAGGTGAAAACAACAAAGGGTTTTAGCACAAAGATGTGACAGCTTTTCTTCAAGTAGGAGCAGAGTATGTTTATAAGTAAAGCTGTCTTAGCAGAGGATGGTTTCGATCCATCGACCTCTGGGTTATGGGCCCAGCACGCTTCCGCTGCGCCACTCTGCTCGCCATAGAAGATCTCCCATTCACAGGTGTTTTCAAAAGGGCTTGCGTTTAGGCACACATGAAGTGCACACGAAGTGCCTCTGTCATAAATGTGATCAGGTGAAAACTTGACTTGCCATACTCTACTGTTTTCAAATTGACATGCGTTTAGGCACACTTGAAGTGCTCTTCTGTCATCAATTAGAACAGGTGAAAAATGCAGAAGGTTCTAGCACACAGCTGAGGCAACTTTTCTTCAAGTAGGAGCAGAGTATGTTTATAAGTAAAGCTGTCTTAGCAGAGGATGGTTTCAATCCATCGACCTCTGGGTTATGGGCCCAGCACGCTTCCGCTGCGCCACTCTGCTGTAAACCACCCCACAATCCCTGGCTTAGGAGGCCAGTGCCTTATCCATTAGGCCACTGGGGCTGTTCAAAATATCTGCTCATGTGCCCCCATTACTTTGGCTTCAGTGACAACAACAGCATTGGCATTTAAACAAGGCCAGCACACAAAGTAATCCGGATGAACGACTACTTCGATAGGCCACTGGGGCATGACTCGCTTGCCCTACTAATTGTCCATCTCATTCAGGTGGCTTAGTCAATGAGGCGTTAGAACAGGGCATACACACACAAACACACAGGGTGCTTCTCATTTCTTATTTGTGCATCCTCGCTTCCTTTCCTCGCGTCTCAGCTCCACCCCCTGTAGGACGCGAGGGAAGGCTGCAAGGAAAAAAAATGAGGACGGAGGAATTGACTGA